CACGCACCTGGAGGTTCAGGGTAATTCCTAGAAGTCTATTTTGAGTCCAAGTATAAGCTTCCTAAGTACTCTAATCTGGTTAGAACGAGGTTACAGGTACAAATTATGATTTCGTGATACTTGCCCTGTTAGCGCCAAGCAATTCCTTTGCTCAGGCAGCAAAGCAGTTGGCAATACAGCTCTTAGATTCAGGCCCTCCTCATTTGTACAGTGCCAAGGGTCGTTTCTGCAGTTCGGTTTTGGAGGCTCATATCCTGTGTGCTCAGAAATTGGGCAGCATGTCCGTGTAAGACTTAGCCACAACGGTGGAAGGGCCCTGCCCCTTTTGTCACGAGGCTAGGTCTAGAATGGATGTCACATGCCCTCATCGCAGCTGAGACACAAAGCTGCAAAAACGCGTGATCGGTGTGTTTGCATTTCCTTTCTGCACCTTGCTGCCATGTCAATTAATGCCTTCAGGGAGCCAGACCAAGAGACTCCTGCTCTGCTCTGCTGGCTCAGGTTTTTTGCGTCATCAGTGCAAAGCTTCCCTCCCTAAGGCCTAAACCCTAAACCCCAACCTCGGTCACTCAAGGCCGAAATCTGTGCATAGGCCTTCTTACACATCAGCTCACGGCCCCGCACTCAAACAGGGATCCTGGGCTGTCAGCCCTGCAAGATCAAAGCTTAGAGAGTCTGAGTTGGCCACCCAGGAGGCAAGTTCCCAAAAGTACTGGTTGTTAGTAGTGAACATGGGACTGTAATCCCTATAGAATCCCAATATCATATGTTCGCTTTTTCCCTACTAACAACCAGTAAGCACAAGTACCCCCAGGCTTTCCAGTGTCAAGGATGGAATGTACATGGCGCGTAGTAAGGTTGAATTGGCGAAAGGATTAAATTAGGGGTATGCGCTTGGAGGAATGTGTCCTTTTATCTTTGCACAGGTGATGCCCCGAAGCTGCTACGCGGAAATGTCTAAGCACAGGGGTGATTTAAGTCCGCAAGGTTAAGCCCTGAAGCTCAAACTCCCCGAGACGGAGCACGCAAGCCTTACACCTCAGCCCATGGGAGGATCTAGAAAGACACGCCCAGCAGGATACCTCTTACTACTATTGGGCTACTATTGGGTGACTTCTAGGAACCGTAAACGGGGATCTACTTTCCAGACGCTCCCCAGCATCTGGGAACATTTAGCGCCTAAGTTCGAAGCTCCAAGCACGACGCCGTAAACCGTCAATCTGGATCTTAGGCAATGAGCTCGCCTTTGCCACGCCGCTGAAAGCGATGATCGTTTAGTGCTCTGTGCAGTGGGTACTCCCTAAAGTGGAGATTTCCCCTGAAACCCTTAACCTTTAACCTGACCACTAAACCCTGAACTCTAAACCCTGAAACCTGAAACACTAAACCTTAAACCCTAAATCCAAGAGCCCCCCCACCACAAAAGGGGGGGATAAGGGGAGTAAAGCAGGGGCAAGGGAGGACTCCTGGGTCCCGTCACCACTTGCACAAAAATGATTTAAATCAGGGTTTATGGTTGAGGATTAACTTACATCTTTGGGTGGGGGGATGGCTAGGGAGGGGTTAAGGGTGTAAGATTCACCGTGTCTAGGGTTTGGGGTTTGCAGTTTGGGTCTTAGGGTTTTAGGTTTTGGTCTTGGTGGTCCTGGGCCCAGGAGGGTACCCCGCAGCCAAAAGCTGCTTTAGAAACCTGAACTGCGGCGACAAAGGCGCCCAAAGCGATTGCCAACAGGCATTTTCAAAAGTCCTCGGTGTGTGGAAACACGGAAGAAGGCAAAGTAAGCTACATAAGCCCGAAAAAAAAAAGAAACATATCCATTACAGGGCACCCCCCCGCAAGGAAGTGTCCACCTTGTGGGGCACAAAGTTCCATGCCAAAAAGGCTGTACGCCCTAATACTTCGACCCCTTCACAGAGAGCCTTCAAGGCTCAACAGCCTTACATGGACTCATCTTTCCACTTGCGGGGTTCAAGCTACTCGCAACAGTCGCTGGTAAGCTAAATGTCATATGGGTGGTTGTCAAAATTATGGTCCCGTTTTGGGTCCCTATTATAATACGGCACCTAATATTTAGGGTACCCAAAAAAGGGACTAATGGGGTATATAACCGCAATATAGTAGTTTCCATTTTCTTTTCCATTATCCCCATAGAACCCCAATATAATCTCTATAATCCCATATTTAGGGTACTCAAGAAGGGACCATGATTTTGACAACCACCCATATGCCTATAAGCCAATTGGCCTAGGGATGCTTTGGGTGGGTAGTTTCCCCCCCCTTAGAGGCCTGCCTTACATAGCCCTTACATAGTCCTAAGCCTTACAAGCCTTGAAATGAAAGGGTACTCACCTCGCAACTGCCGCCCTGAAGTTCCCCTAAACCCTAAACCCTACCTGAAATTCCCTTAATCTCCCTCAACTTCGCAAGTCTTCAAATCACGGTTGCCATGCTCATCACGTGGGGTGTGGGCCTCTTTTCTTGCTAGCCGGTTACCAAGCTCTCGGCTCCTAACAGGGCTCCATGAAGGGGTTTGGGGTTTAGGGTTTTATTGTTTAGGAGACCTGAGGGGATGTATTCCATGTAAACACTGAACTCCAAAGTCCAAATCCCAATCTTGTGAACCTAAGCTCTAAACCCAACCCTAAACCCTAACCCCTAAATCAAACATAACCCTGACTCCAAAACCCAACTCTACGCCCTAACCCCTAAACCCTAACCCTTAACCCCCGAAACCCTGACCCTTAACCCTTGACCCTTAACCCTGAACCCTAACCCTTGA